ATATATATATATATTGCACACACATTTATTAGTATGTAAGGTATGGAGGCACACAGATGTCCCACTATAATGTTTTCATAATTTGAGACCATGTTACCAAAGAGACTGTGCTATAATGAAGGGTTCCTGGTATTTCTAGGGTAAGGAGTGTGAGTATAGTATATGAAAGAACTACCTTTCAAGGACTCTTTATGTTTTAGTATGTTATAATGTGATCACATACACAAATTATAACATTATACTTTATTAAAATAAGTATTTTATTACAATGTAGAGAATGACAGCTTCTCACTTATGGACCAAACACTCTGCTATATACTTTTCATATACCACCTAAGTTAATCCTCTGAACTCCAGGAATGTTATCATTTCTACAGACCAAGAAACTAAAATTCAAAGAGATTAGGAAGTTTATCTCAGATCATATAATTTGTAATATACAGACCTTGGACTTGAACCCAAGAGTGAGTGTCTTAATTCTAGGGCCATTAGATTTTTCTTTAAGCTACACTGACATCATAAAATTTAGACTAAAAGCTCTTCTTAGCATCCCATCAATATCTTCAGAAAATCAAGTTGCTACTATGTACCCGTTATATATTTAAAAACTGTTGGCCTTCATCCATCCATCCATCCATCCATTCACCTACCCACGCACCCATCCATCAAATCACCTATCCGTCCTCCACACAGATATTAAGTATCTGCTACATCCCAGGCAAACTGTGCTAGGCATAAAGGATATACACACTGGTGAGAGAAAACAAGATACTCAAGTCTTGTGGCCCAGAGGAAAGAGTAATTAACTAAATAGTCATATACATAAATACAAAATTGTAACTGCATTAAAAGTTCTGATGGATTAAGAGTAGCTCTGGGTCTGAAACTTAATAAGGCACCACTGTGGCACCTAACAGGGGTCACTGAATTGAATCTGAAGGATCAAGAACAGTTCCTCTGAGGAAATGATTAAGCCTGAAGAATCAGTAAAATTATTTAGGTGAGGAAGATTATTCTTGACTGAAGAACAATATGTGCAGAGATTCTGAGACGGGAGACAGCACTGTATGTCTGAAGTCACGGAAAAAAGGTGCTGTGGATGTGGCAGAGGGAGCAAAGTGGAGTACAGTACATTGGCCAAGGGGGCAGGAACAGCTAGATTATTCTTGGCCTTGGAGGCCATATAAAGTTATCTGGCTTATCCTAGGAGCAATAGGAGGCCACTGAAAAACCAAGATAGGCAATAACATAATCAGATTTACATTTTCTAAAAGCTTATAATGACATGAAGAGAAATGATTTGGGTGAACAGACAGTAGATGCAGAAGAAGCAGTTAAAAGGCTATGGGAGTAGCCCAGGCAGGAAATGAAGATAACTTAAATCTAAAAAGGTAAATGTAGAAATGAAAAAGAAGAAAACGGATTTGAGAGATTTAGGAGGTAAAAATAACAATTTAGTAATACCTTGAATACACGAAGTGAGAGAGAGAAAGAGTTCAAAGATGATGCAGGTATCTGGCTTACACAATTTTCATTAACAGAGAAAGAATACTGACAGACAATCAAATATGGGTGGGAGAAGGAAAGAGAAGTCATGAGTTCAGTTTTAACATATAATATTTACGATGCCTTTGAGGAATATTAAAGAGCAGTCAATGAGACAGTAAGACATATGAGTTAAGAGCTCAGAGAAGACTGCATTAGAAATGTATATTTCTGAGTTATATGAGAATAAATAGTAAGCTAAAATCATTTGGGGAGAGAAAAGAGGGCCTAGGATCAAGCCTTGAGAAATTCCAATGTCTAATGCGTCAGTAGAAGGAAATGAATCTGTATAGGAGACTAAGAAAGACCAACCACCTAGAAAGAAAAACAAGTGGGAGCATGCAACATTACAGAAGCAAGGGAGGAGAGGGTTTTAAGAATAAGAAGTCATTAATAGTGCTGAGAGGTCAAGTAAAATAAAGACTCTTAAAACACTGCGGATTTAATAAGATGAAGTCATTACTGATGCTATCACAACCCTAAAGAGAAGTTTAATTTGAGATAGCAAAGCAAAACTTATACAGAAACTATAGACACCAATTCTCTAAATTTTGTAGAAAGGCTGGTAACCTAGAAATGTCTTTACAGAGAAAGTCTTTAGTAAAGAACTTAAGGGGGCCAGGGATTTAGCTCAGTGGTTCTGCCACCTGCCTTGCAAGCAAAAGGACCCGAGTTTGATCCCTGGTACCAAAAAAAATTTAAGGGAGCCCAGAATTGAATGACTAAAAAGTGCTCCCTTACCAGGTATTATAAGAGAAGAATGCACTGTGTGTGGAGGTGGGGCTGCTAGGTGTGAGTGTAGCAGTTAAGGACTGAACTGCAATCAATTGCTATTGTTTCCATTATAAAATAGGGGAAAAAATAAGGTTCTTTGTAAAATTGTTTCAGAATTGTAAGATAAGATGGTAGGATGTGACTCAATGCAGCAAATGGAGGCTAATACTGTTTTATTAATATTTTGAGAAAGCACCAAAAATATTCAAACAAATAACCTTGTATACTTAAGATGGGAGCCTTTTGTTTACTAGTGGGCCCTGATCTTTGTTTTCTGTATTTACCTATAGGTAAGTGAAAAGCATCAGATAGAAAAGTTTAGTTTTGAGGCCTATTTTGAGATAAATATATGTCACAGACTTTTACAACTAATATTAAATATATAACTATTCAGTAAATATATCAGAAGTAGAAACATATTCTTTTATATTTTGGCAAATTCTGTAAAAGAGAAAGAATAAGGGGAAAAAATGTAAAAAGCAAGCCACAACAAAAAAGTAACTAAGAATTGAGGGTTAAAAAAAGGAACAGAAGATGAGAAAGGCTAAAGAGGTCAGAGACAGACAAGACAGGCAGATGGAGAGGAGACAGACGAGGCCTGTGATAGGCAGAATCTGCCCACACCTCCTCAATTCCTCTGCAGCCTCTCCCTACTATTTCTATTTATGGCCCAAACTAAAGTATTCTATCTAAGCCGCCTGTTTCTCTGCCTGATCATGCATGCCGCTGCCAACATCTATTGTCCCTCATGCTCTCCCTCCCAGAAATCTCCTAATTAGTACTGATCTTGACAATGGACCTCGTATTACTATACACAGTTCTAGGCTGCTTCCTCTAAATTGTTTAAACAAAAACCAAAACAAACTCATCTACATCTGCACCTGCTAAACTAAGGAGGACACCTTGGAAGAAGCACGTTTACAGAACCCTGGGATCTTCTCTGGGGATGCTTGTTTGGAGGTCCCTGTGAAAAATGTTCTCATTTGAAGAGATGGAAATAAATGGACATCATTTTTAAAAATATGAAAAAAGCTAAACAAAACTAAGCCAAGGGGAAAAATCCCCACACTTGAAGTTGATGTACCCTAATTTACTTAGTGTCTTCTTACTGTGTGCTGAGGACCATCTTCATTGTCCCGCATGTAGAAAGGCTTGAGTGCTAGTGGATAATTAGTGACAAAGACCGGAATGTTGCCACAGTACTTCACCAGGTACTTCTCATGTTCAGTTTGTAGATCAACACCCCACTGTAATGAGAGAAAATTAACGATAAAAGGGGAAGACAGAGCTGAGATATACAATCAACCACCTCAAAATAGCTTCTATTAGTTCCAAGGGCTTCCTCTCCCTGAGGCTCAGTGATGAGTACAGCTTTCATTTGAGGTTACACAGCTGACTAAACTGAAGCGAAATACTTTCAGCCAACTGCCTGGAGAGATGAAAGTTGTAACTCAGGGAGCAGCATTCAGCTGCTGAATTGTAGCCCACAGGAAAACAAAGTATACTTCCCAAAGGGATAAAATTTACTTCAGAATTGCAGATTTTTATTAATATTGCCCAGAGCTTCTCTTACAGTTACTGATCCTAAATCTCAGGAAATTAAATAAAGGAAGATAATATTCCTAATATTGAGTCTATCTTTGGCTACATGGCTTCTCTTGATGAATTTTAAAAAATAAATCAAGTCATATATTAGATGTTGTAATGCATATATACACATCTCTTCATTTATTTAGTGGTATCAAACACAGGGCTTTTGCACTGAACTATATCCCCAGCACTTTGTACTTATTTTTAAATTTTGAGACCATAGGATCACAAGCTTGAGCCTCAGCTGGGCAACTTAGCTACTTAGTAATTACTCTAGAAATCAACTAGTTCAGTTCAATATTCTTAATATTAAACGATGACAGACAGAAAAGGTTTTCTGATTAAATCAATATGATCTCTGTTCTGTCTTGACTCCTTCCTTCTTTGTGGGTCATTGTGAGCATCAATCAGTGTCCTTTGCTGTTGCTTCATAAAAGAGGTACCAAATCTGCACAAAGGAGCAAGGGGAAGTGGCAATGGCAGGAGAGGGAGAGGGCACATGCACCTGCCTGATCATCTCCTAGTGCAGGAAAAAAGGACTGGAACAGAAATGAGACTTGCCTCTAACATGTGGCCTCCCTGGACCTATATTCCAGCAAATAAAATGAAGGAGTTCTTTCTCAGAAACAGAGAGCAGAACAGTGGCAGCCAGAGGCTGGGATTGGGGGAAATAGATGTTGAGCAAAGGGAAAAGCGCACAGACTTTTCATTGTAAGATGAGTAAGTCTGGGGATCTAATGTATGGCAAGGCTGGGGACAGATATGTTCATTAATTTGATTATAATCATCATTATACAATGTATACATACATCAAATCATCACACTACATACCTTGAGTATAATCTTAATTCATGAATATTTTAACTGAAATTCTTTAAAAAGAGCCATTTTGAGTGGCTCAAAATTAAAGGCTTCATGAAACTCAACTGAGAAAAAACCCTGTTAAAATGTCAACTAAACTTATTTAATCATATAACCTTTTCTTTGTCTGTCACCTTTTAATATCACTCAGAATACACTTTAGGAATAGTGGACTTCTACAGTAATATTCTATGATTATCACTCCCTTTTATTGTTTTCATCTTCCTAAACTCAAGGGACTCTTTATAACCCTTCAGTCACTGCTATTTCAAATGATATAATTCTATTTCAAAATTATTTCTCATCCTAAGTAGCTCAACAAGATCCAGCAGAGGACACATAGAGATGAGAAAATACTATACACATCTAATAAGAGAAATAAGATTATTTTGAAGGACTCTTAATAAAGTAAGATAAGAACAAAGCACAAGAGGGAAACATATTTCACATACACACAAATGTTGCACAACATACTACCTCTGGGGTGAAGGTGAAGTTCTGGGATGCTTTCTTTAAGATCTCTATGGCCTCCGTGTAAGAAATGCTGGAGGAAAACAAGGGAAAAGCAGAGAAAGGTTTAACACAATGGACCTGCTTTTAACTAAGTCATCTTAAAACTACAAAAGCTTATCTCATATAGTTTGTGAGGTTCTAAGGAATTAAAGGTGATGTAGTCTTATGAAGGTCTGATCTGTATGAAGAGAAGTAGCCAGTCAGTAACCCCACTCCTGGTGAACGTGTAATGCCCACAAAGGAGCTAGTCACTTCAGCAAGTACAGATTTTCTTTAAATTCATGTTATACCAATGCCATATAAAAAAGTATGAGGGCAGGGGATTTAGCTCAGTGGTTCTGCCACTTGCCTTACAAGTACAAGGTCCTGAGTTCGATCTGCTACCAAAAAAAAAAAAAAAAAAAAAAAAAAAAAAAAAAAAAAAAAAAAAAAAAAAAAAAAAAAAAAAAAAAAAAAAAAAGCCGGCCAGGGCATGATGGTGCATGCCTGTAATCCCAGTACTCAGGAGGCTGAGGCAGGAGGATCACCGTGAGTATGAGACCAGCCTGGGCCACATAGTGAGTTCCAGGTCATTCTTAACTACATAGCAAGACACTATCTCAAAAAAAAAAGTATGAATTACCAAGGATGAAAGAACAGCAGAATTTCTTAGAAGTGTCATTTACCCCCAAACATATTTGGCACCTACCAGATGCTACCCACTGTTCTAGGCCCTGGAGACAGTAACAAAAAGGCCCTAAGGTCCAGGGATTTAGCTCAGTGCTTCTGACACCTGCCTCACAAGAACAAGGGCCTGAGTTCGATCCCTGGTATGAAAAAAAAAAAAAGCCCCTGACTTCATGAATACATGACCGATGGGGGTGTGAAGAGAAACGAGGAGGACAAAGAAGATGAACAGGAAGATGAGGAGGAGGGGAAGAAGGTGGAGGTGGGGGTAGTGCTAGGAAGCTATTAAGGTGCTAGGTAGCTATGAAGAAAAATGAAGGGAGGTAAGAAGACAGAAGGTGTTTGAGGGTGCCATTTTAGATAAAACAGTCAAGGAAGGCCTCACTGAGTTGGCGACATGTGAACATACACCGGTATCAAGTGAAAAAACCAAAGTATATAAATGTTGGAGAAGAAATAGTCTAGGCGAAAAGAACAGCAAGTACAAGGACCTGAAGTGAGGAACAGTCTGGCTCATTGAAGGAACAGAAAGGTCAGTGTGACTGGAGCATATTGAACAAGTGGAAGAATGCCAGAAAATTAGACAGGAAAGCAGTCAGAAATCAGATCATATGGATTTTCTCAGGCCATGATGGGAATGTAGAACAAATTCTAAGCACTGTAAGGTATTTAAGAAAAATATCGTTGATTCTCTTAATAAGAAATTCTCATGTCTAAACAACAAAAACAAATTCTCATGTCTAAAGGAAGACAAATCAAACCAAGGATTTGTTTTAATTTTACTGTGGAAATAGGTAATATATCCACAGTGAGAAAAAAAAACAACAAAAAAACAAAACCTCAATATGTATAAAAAAGCAAACAAAACCCAGGCAGGGTGATATGTGCCTGTAGTGCCAACTACTGAAGAGGCTGAGGTGGGAGGATCACTTTAGCACATGAGTAGAAACCAGCTTGGGCAAAAAAGCAAGACTTTGTCTCAGAAAAAACAAATGAAACTATATATTTCTATTTAATACTATTACAAAAAGAGTTTTTACATATTAATGATGTATCTCTCTTCCTTCTCTGTCCTATAGTCACCCAGTTCCTTTCTGCTCATATTTTCATTCTTGTTTCCTGTGTAAAAATATACACCTATGGTATATAAGTAAATATTAGTAATCTTTTTTAGCAAATGTCAGCAACAGCATATATGTATCATACTCTTTTATACCTTATTTTACTCAGTACTACACCTTGAAGATCTACCAGTAGACAAAAAATTCATTTTTTGAATTACATAATATTCATTTTATGGATGTATCATATATAATTAGTTTAGCCAGCAATTTATGGATGGATATTTCAAATGTCCCCAATTTTTCGCTATTATAAATCATGACTACATATTTCTATTTAATGTTATTACAAATAATTATTTTTTCATAATATATTGATTACATTCCTTGTGTGGAGTTGGTACATGTACATAATACATTTTAATTCTTTTCTTCATCCCCTTCCCCTTTCTCTCCTCTCCACCATCCTACATCTCTTGGTCCTCTTTTCATTTGTAAAAGATCTATTTTCTATTACCTTTTACTTCGCTTTTATTTATATTTTCAGTTTCTCATATAAGGGAAATCATACTTTCACTTAACATTACAGTCCCAAGTTTCATCTATTGTTCTACAAATGACTCAAATTTATCCTTTATGGCACAGTTGTACTCAACTGTACATAAATACCACATTTTCTTTATTCAACTGCTGATGGACATATAGGCCACTTCCAAGATTTAGCTATTATGATTTGTGCTGCTATAAACATGGATATGCATGTATCACTTACTATGACTCCTTTAATTCTTTTGGGAAGGTACCTAGGAGAACAGTTGGGTTGAATGGAATTTCTAGTTTTTTGAGGAATCTTCATACTGATTTCCACAGTGGCTGTACTAGTTTACGTTCCCACCAACAATATAAAAGGGTTCCTTTCCTCCCGCAACATTACTAACATTTGTTATTATGTGAATTCTTGATGATAGTCTTTCTTTTTGGAGTAAGATGGAATCTGTACTGTTTTTTTTGTTTTGTTTTGTTTTTTTAAAATTGAGTTTATTGGTACAGTCTAGGTATACAATACAGTTACATTCATCATTGGGATTCTGTACCTTTACAGAATAGGTCTTGATTCTCATTTTTTCCCCTTGTCCCTGCCCTCCTTTCACCCCCTCCTCCCCTCTCCATTTACAAACATTTTATTTCCATTTTTTCAGTTTCTCATATTTTTTCCTCTCCCTTATTACCTTTCCCCCACCCTTCCCACTTTCCCTACACTTTTAGCCCTTTACTTCCTATTTCACATTATTAATTATTTCATTAGGATCCTGTGTACTATTATACTTTTTCACACCAAAGAAACTATTCGGTATTTCAGTTAAAGAAATCTCTGTATGAACATTAAAAATAGGGAATCCTAAAATAAAACTAAAAAGGAAAGTAAAAGAGAAAAGGCCATGATGTAACATTAAAATAATCCTTAATTCTGGAGATGAAAATGGTCCCTGAACACATTTAAATTGCTTCTTGCTCTTATAGTCTTATTCTTTCTTTTTCATTATTTAGAGAATACTTTATTAGTTTCTGTAATCAAACCCACGTAGATGTGACCTTACATATTTAGTACGATGTGTTACCCCTGTATACATGGAAAAAAATAAAAAATAAAAATAAAAAAATTAACATTTCTAGACCAACATGGTTGTCCATTTCTGTACAATGCCAACTCAACACAGTGAATTGGGATGAATTTTTGCAAAATTGGCAGCACCGTTAAAGTTTCCCAAAATTCAATCTATATATATATATATAAAAAGACTAATAATAGCAGTATGTAATGCATTGACATTGGAAATAATTCTTATACACTAATTATGTACCCAAAGAAGTAGAATTGTATCAAAATCTGTAATTTTTGCTTTTTTGAGATGGTCTTGCTATGCAGTTCAGGTTGGTCTTGAACTCACTATGAAGCCCAGGTTGGCCTCGAACTCCTGATGATCCTCCTTCCTCAGCCTCCTGAGTGCTGGGATTACAGGCATGTGCCATTACACCCAGCTAAAATCTATAATTTTTATATATTCTGAAAGATACTGTCAAAGATACTGGCTCCTTTTATAGGGTTATATAAACTGATGCATACCAATAGCAAATGAAAATGTCAGTTACCTTGCAAAAACTACAGGAAAAATAATGCAACAGTACTTTGGATGACACAAATAAATTACAAACTTTTTGAAGAACTCTGAGCTCAAAAAATAATTTACCCACCCAGCACTCAAGAAGGCTGAGGCAGGAGGATCGCTATGAGTTCGAGACAATCCAGGACTACATAGTGAGTTCCAGGTCAGTCTCAACTATATAGTGAGACCCTGTCTCAAAAAAAAAAAAATTTTTTTTCTCAGCACAAAATTGAGTTCTGAAGAAAAAGTGAATTTTGTACATATAAAAACCAGTTGGAGGGCCGGGGATTTAGCTCAGCAGTTTGGTGGCCTGCCTTGCAAGCATAAGGACCTGAGTTCAATCCCCGGTACCAAAAAAAAACAAAAACAAAAAACAGTTGGATACAGTTTTGCATTATAGTACTAATAAAGACCCCAAAGCTAAGTTTAAGTGACAGAGGTTTTGGTCTTTTTTGGTACCAAGAATTGAACTCAGGGCTTTGTGATTACCAGGCAGGTACTGTGCTACTGAGTTACAACCCCATCCCATGACAGACTTTTTGTTTGATTGTTTGTACCAGGGATCAAACTCAGGACCTTGTGCTTGCAAGGGAGGTGGTGGAACCACTGAGATAAATCCTTGGCCCAGACATTTTTATAAGATGGAATTTTAAAAAAATTAAAACCTAGTCTTAAATAATATGTAATTTCTAAGGTAACAATGATGGTATTTATAGTCATAGAAGTAACAATGATTTAAAAATTACTTTTACTTATGAGAAACTGAAGCTTAGAGAGAATAAAAGTAAGTAATAAACCCTGACCTGCTGAATCCAAAGTCTATGCTTTAACTGGTTTTATAATGCGTAAAGTGTTGGAGTTTCATATGTCGAATCAAAATAAAAGATAATGGGCTCTGAGTTCTTCCTGACTTTACCACTTAGTAGCAATATAAATCACCTCAACTTAGTGAAAATACGTTATCAATATTTGAATGTGTTATACGAACATTAAAAAAGTATTTGCACTTACAAGGTCACAATACCTTAACTTTTAAGTTCTTGCCTATTTACACATTTTATTATTTTGCTTCACAATTTCTTTATATGATCTTCCAATTATACCAAGAAATAGTAAGAAGAGTTAAAATGGGAAGAATA